CCCCACCACCCTTTTCTTGCACCGAAAGACCTACTGTTGTGTGCATTTGCTATTCTGTATGAAACAGACAAGAACTGCGAAGTAACCTCTTCGGAAGTAACGCAGGAGAGACAGAAAAGGTCAACGAAAAGAAAAAGTTGAATGCCGAACATGAACTGAGGCTTGACAAATAGGCTGATGCCAAATGATAGCTTAGGCCTAGGTAGGGGACACCGCCGCGGGATAGCATTACGAGGGTTTTCCACGGATGCTTCAAAAACAAGTCGGAAAAGTAGAGGTCATGACCCGGTGGAGGACAACGTCACTAACCGCGTGTCCTCGATGTAGCCCGGGTTTGTCTCGAGGACGGAAAATCCGATAATGAGACATTTCTATGGCATCGTGGTGAATTCAGGCGCTCGTCAAAATAATGAATTCAAAGAAATCAACTTTTTTTTCTGTCCGTCCAGGAATTTTTTTATCGAATTTCTAGGATTCCCTTTTGCTTATTTGTTGGTGGCTTTTTGTGCTTAACACCTGCTATGTCTATTTAAAAACACATTTCGGTGTGGATTTTACTGAAAATGTTGAACGAAGGCACAGAAGATGTAAATTTGAAGTTTCCAAGGACGCGCAAGTTTTGGGAGTCACCAAACTTTGGCAGCCCTTTTTTTCACTATGTTATCGACACCAGATGGTCCCTATCTCCTCCAATCTCAAATATCCGTACTTCTATTGAAGATAAATGTGAATTCTTTTCATCAAGAACAGGACAAATAAATAAGCTTTTGTATTATATCAATAACTTCAAATGCCCCAAAACTGACGAGCACCTGATTCCACCGCGTTGTGACACGTTCCTATTTGAGTTCAAGTGGACAACATTCTGACAACTCCCGGTACCTAATACTAATCTGGCATTCTTGACTTTATCTTGCCATCAGATACATTGTACCTATGGGATCGAGAGAGTGAGTCTGATGTTTTCGCGGATTTTTCTCACCTCAATGTTTGTGAAAGTAGAACAGTCTTCTGCAAATGCTCTTGTCATCGCCAGACACTGGGGTACGAATTATTAATACTATCGATAGATTGCAATTAGGTAGCTTATACAATAATAATAGTCTGCAAGTATAAGCCCCGAGCGCTTTACAATGATGCCAATAATAATAATAATAATAATAATAATAATAATAATAATAATATTACTTATGTTCAAGTTGCAAGGTTGACAAAGGTAAGCACTATCTTTTTCTAATTTTGCTAAAACAAGAAGAAAATGCTAGGTAATTGCATTATGACCCTGACAATCTGACACTGGCATCTGTCGGGTTCAGTGCTGCTATGGATAAGCTCTTTGCCGTTGGCTGCAAAGTAAGGAGTTCGATCCAACGTGTGCGATTTTTAAATATTTTTTGCTGCTGGTATGTTGTATCCCACCCAGTTATCCCTTGTTTTACCCAGAAAGTCTTGACACAGAGTTTTTTATTTTTTGGTTTTTTTTTCATTTTAAGTGTCTCCATCTGTCAGCTGGGACTTTATATCCCTCTCAGTCCTGGTTGGTTTTGATAGGCAAGGTCGAAGCCCGCCTCCTAAAAGACACACGTTGTCCTGTGTCGATGGAGACGTAAAACTACTTCTGCATTTACATTTTTTTACTAGCGGGATTAAAGACCCCC